CAAGCACCAAACCTCGCTAACCTCATCACCAGAAGCAAACTTCCTTAAGCCCAGAACACACCAAAAGGATCCAGACTGTGCCATGACAAGAAATGCAAAACCTGCCAACACATCTCCACCACCCCCACAATTACTACACCCCACATCAGAGCCATCAGCATTCCTGGATCTTACAGCTCCACCTCCAGAAATGTAATATATCTCATCCAATGCACCAAATGCCCTGATGGAAAATACGTAGGAGAGACCAAACAACAACTGCGCGCCAGAATGAACGCACACCGGAAAAGACAGGAATACCCAATTACTGGTGAGGGCACATTTCTCACAAGAAAACCACCCTGTCTCCAATCTCTCGGTCCTGATCCTCAAAGGAAACTTACACAACACTTCCCAGAGATGAGCCTATGAACTCCACTTCATCAACCTCCTGGATACTAAAAATCATGGACTAAATATAGACATTGGATTTATGACACATTATAACCTGCCTGACATCTGACTCCCCAGGTACCTCTCCACTATTCATCCCCCTTCTCTCTCTTCACCCCCACCCCTCCCCAGCCTGTCTCTCACTCATTGACTCCTCAATCTACATTTTCACTGACTACTTGTCTTGTATGCAGCCCAGCCCAGCCGCTGGCTTCTTTACTTTTCATTCCATCCAGGAAGAGCACACACCAGCTGCTGAAACTTCCTTAGCCTGACAAAGGGTTTTTGAACCCGAAAGCTTGCTTAATAACTATTCTCCAACTATTTGGGTTGGTCTAATAAAAGATATCAGATTCACCCAAGGAACCTTGTCTGCCTATGCTGTATCAGAGGAATTGATGATTTCCTTCGTGCTCCTCAGAGCTGCCGGTTAAGAGCAGCAAAAGATGGATGCTTCAAAGATGTAGTCAGTCTGGTGGGGAGAGGTCCTAACTGGTAAGCTCTTTAGCTTGCAGCTGCATCAGGGCTGATAGAAGGCAGATGGAACTTTTTTGAATGAACAGAGGTAATGGGTTTTGGCAGAGTACAATCGTATAATAATTTGAAATGACAATGCAAACAATCCAGCACTTGAGAACATGATTCTCACTGGAGGTATTATCTTGGGTTGCCAACCTGTTTAAAACAATAGATTTTGCTTTGCTTTGTATCAGATGTCCATGCTAAATATGTTTCTTTTATTTGTGACTCTCCAGATAGCTACTGTAAAAATGGCAAAGAGTAATTCTGCCAAGGCCTGAAGTTTCTTTGAAAAAGCCCAGAGAAATCTGACTATGCATGAGATATATACAGCTACAAACTGTCATGGTTGGTGTAATCATGTAACTTGAATAGAAAGAGTCAGTGGGTGGAAATGTTAATGCAGTGTTGTGATGGAGTACAGAACTGTAGCTGAATGAACCACAACTCCAGCTAATATGAATGTGATGAATGAGACGTTAGCTCCATAACTTGAACGTTAGAATGAGACGTTAGCTCCGTAACAGTGAAAATTAACTGTAGCACAGTGATAGCAGATGAAACCAATTTCCTGGCCCTGAGTTGTCCCAATCAAGTATGTGAATAAAATTGTGTGTGTGCTTTTAGAATTGGGGCCTTAATGCTGAGGGGTCAATTGACTTCATGGCTCACTATTATCTACCTTAGGGGTGGGCAAAATATGGCCCATGGGCTGAATCCGCCCCACCAGGCACTTTCATCTGGTTCACCGCACCCTGCAACAAATTGCACCCTGCCCAGCCTTTCCACCCATGAGACCCTGCAAAATATCCTATTGGGGCTTGCTCCCATCCTCTTGGGCAGAAGGGCTCTGCCTAGCCAGCAGCTTCCAGGGGGGCTCCTGCTGCAGCTGAAACCTGCTCACTCAGGGCAGCAGGCAGGGAAGTGGTGGGGCTGGTGGGGGGAGGAGGGGTTGCATCTGGGCGGAAGCAGGAGCGCGGTGTGGAGCCTGTGCCCAGGGGGGCAACAGGAGTGTGGAGCTCAGCTGGGCAAGCTGTGGGGTGTAGGGACCTCCCCAAACACTCCCCACCATGGTGTGCAGCCCCTGCTGCCAGCAAAAGCAGCAGGTGGGGAGGTCAGGGTGCTTGTGCCCGGCACAGGCGCCCGGTGGGGTGCAGCTCCAGCCAGCGCTGCCGGGGGGAAGGAGCAGAGCCTGCCCTATTGCTGGGTCTCTGCTCCGCATGCCTGCAGCTCCAGCACTCGCAGCAGGGGAAGCCCCACACTGGAGCCTACTGCCTCCCCCGCTTCCTGCTGCGCAGGTCCCCGCACTCTGCCAGGAGTGGAGGAAGCCCTGAGGTGTCCCCGCTGTGAGCATGGAGCTGCAGGCACACGGTGTCAAGCCCCTGCAATAGAGGTAGCCAGTGCAGTGCTGGGGACAAGGAGCCCTGGGGTGGGGGCAGCAAGGGGAAGGACTTCCAGCAAAGGTCAGGGGTTATGGGGCAGGTCTTCTGGTCGCAATGTGGCGACCAGGGGGTGGGGCAACTGTCAAGGGGCGGGGCTACCCATGTGGCCTTCGATGGCTCACCAAAACTTGTTACGTGACACTCCCCCTGAAATAAATGTCGCCCTTGATTTACTTGATCCTTTCTAAACTCTTAATTCCACAGGTATTAACAAACATCCCTTCTTTTTAAGGGTCGTGATGTTCCACCGATCAAGCCATCCTTTGTTCTGTAAGCCTGCTGTCTTGTAGCGGGTCCTGGTCATGTAGCTCCTATTTCACAGCCTTGCAGATTGTTTTTAACTCATTCCAATTAAGTTATATTTGTTTTTGATTCAATCTTGAACTGAATACACAGCCCACGGCCCCTAGATTTTTAGTAAAGTCTGTAGTTTATTTTTAACAGGAAAAAAATACATTTTGTTTCATATGTGATGATGCACCCCACCATCTGCCCCTCCCTTTTCAAAATCCTAGATCTGCCAATAGAAATCAGTGCCCAAAACAAAGAGTAAGAACATAAAAATTGCCATTTACTGGGTCAAACCATAGGTTCATCTTGCCCAGTAGCCTGCGTCACATGGCGGTAGAGAGCAGACGCTGAAAGGGAGAGTGAACTGGGTATTGTGCGGGCCGCCTCCCGATCCCGTCCATGTCGCCATGTGTGAGCCGGCAGCGATATGCGGACCCATCTTTGCGCATGCGGGCTGTGGCCAGCAGCCCGGGCACGCGGGGTCAGAGGAGACCGTGCGGCGGCAAGGCACGCACGGGCTAGAATTAGTCACAGAGGCGTAGTGGTTGATTCAAAGATTATTTACTTACACCCAAGGCGGGTTCGGCAATTTCTTTCCCACGGAGTTGTCGAAGCTCCGTGGGTTTGGTTCGGCTCTCTGGCCCCGGAGTTGTTAAAGCTCCATGGGTTCGGATCTTGAGTATATAGGATAGGGATACGTCTAGGATTGCGCTTGGTGATGGGGAGAGGCCAGAGGCTGTTTAGACCTCTGTTGCCTTCTTAAGAAATGCGTTGGGTTCATAAGGATCCGCAGCGCTTAGAGATCTTCACGCTCTCCCTCTCGGACTCCAATTGCTTTCTCTCCAACTTGGCCGGAAACCACCCAAGCTCTTTATACGGCTAGCAAGCCAACTGCTAGCCGCCACGTGTGCATAATTTAACACAAGCCAATAATGGGGCTCAAATTCAAATACAAATGGCGGGAACTCCTTTGCACCGTGCATTTCTGAGATGCAAAAGAAATGCACCATGCAAAGAAAGCTATAAATTGGCGGGAAAATTCTCCGTTGCACCGGAGTTCTCCTCTGCAGCAGAAAACTCCACCGTGCAAAGAAGCTGCAATTTGGCGGGAAAATAATTTAGCAGTGCCGAAGCACACACAAAACAAAAACTCACAACTTTGGGTTGTGACAGGTATGACCAGGGTCCTTTTTTCCCCACTGTTCCTCTCTCACTTGCAGCCTCTAGTCTTTAAAGCAGGGGTGGGCAAACCGAACCGGATCCAGCCCATCAGCTGATTGGATCCACCCCATAGGCAGGCACCCGCCAATTCATTGTATCCAGCCCAGCCAATGGCTGCCTCTGCTGCGCTCCACATTGGGCTGAGTCCCACCTGGAACAGCATGTTCTGAGCTCCCTTGCTGGAGGGCTCCAGCCCCGACCACTGGGCGTAGCTTCCAGGCAGGGCTGCTGCTGCCACTGCTGCAGCCACCCAGGAAACAGCTGGGCTCCCCCGGCCTTCAGCAACTCCTCCTCCTGTCCCTGCTGCAGCACTGCAGGTAGCAGGTAGGGAGGGGAAGCTGCAGTGCTGGTGGGAGCAGGGCGCAGGGCAGGCTCTACCAGCACCTCACTTTGGTCCTGCTCGTGCATGGCTGGGTAGAGGAGTGTGTGATGGAGTGGGGGAGGCGTGAAGGAGCTCAGCTGCTCACAAAGCCCTGTCCAGCAGGCATGGGACAAGCAGGTGGGGTGAGAACACCCCATGCACACCCACCCTCAATCACATGCTCCCCAAACCACACACCCCACATACCCCTACACAATATACAAGAGTAAGGCTTTCTTTTGATTATGCAATCATCTGTAGATACACTATGCAAAAATACACAAATCAGGACAACATTTTTTTTTAAATAAAATTAAAATGGGTTATAGTAGATGTGTGATTTTTAGTATATGATTTGGGTTTTCTTCCATTCCAAGATGACAAATACCCTTCCTCGCCTCCCGAAAGAAGTACTTCCACAGCAAGGTGAGGGATTTCTGGTAGCAAATGTCAGGGGTTAAGGGCAGGACATCTGGTTCCAAGATGGTGACCAGGAGGATGGAGGCACCTGTCAAGGAGCAGGCTACCCTTGCAGTCCTTGACAGAGCTCATCAAGCTATCTTCAAGAAAGGGAGGAAAGTGGATCCGGCTAACTATAGGCCCATTAGCCTGACTTCTATCCTGGGGAAGATCTTAGAAAAGTTTATTAAAGAGGCCATCCTTAATGGACTGGCCGACACCAACATCTTAAGGGATAGCCAGCACGGGTTTGTTGCGGGTAGGTCTTGCTTGACCAATCTCATTTCCTTCTACGACCAGGTGACCTATCACCTGGACAAGGGAGAAGAGATTGATGTCATATATCTTGACTTCAAAAAAGCCTTCGATCTGGTATCCCATGATCACCTCTTGGTGAAACTGGCCA